TTATTGGTTAGATTTAACAAATGTTGTTTCACAGTTTTTTTAAATGCTTTAATTGAGGCTATAGATTTTATGTCATTATTCAGGATTGAGTTCCACAGACATGGACCCCGACAAGTAATAGAATAGTCCGATTTTTTAAGAGTTGTTGATGGTATGTAAAAATTGTCAATAGAATATCTTGTTAAGTATCTGTGATTAATTAAAGAGAAATGTGGCTGAAAATATGATGGAAGCATGTTATTGTGAAGTTTAAACATAAACAATAAATTTTGATAAATGTTTAGTTCGAATACATTCAGAGCTTTAATTTCTTTTAGTAAAGGCTTGGCGTGTCCATATCTGTCTGCATTAAAAATTAACCGAGTCGCTTGTTTTTGTTTGCTATAAATTTTTTTTAATAAAGACGAGTGATTACTTGCCCAAGCTATATTACAATAACTAATATAGCTATGTATAAATGAAAAATATAAATTTTTGAGGCACATATTATTCAAAAGGTGCTTCATTTTGAAAATGATCCCCAAGGTTAAAGAGATTTTGTTTTCTAATAATTTAATATGATTTTTCCAATTTAAATGTTCATCAAATAATATACCTAAAATTTTCATTGAATGAACATTTTTTATTTTAATGTTGTTTATAAATAAATCTGGAAGTTTAAGGGGTAAGTTATCAGTTTTTGAGGGTTTTGTGAACAAAATGTATTTCGTTTTATCATTATTTAAAGAGAGTCTATTAGCTTTAAACCAGTCGTTGAGATTTACTAGTTCAGTGTTAACAGTAAAAAAAATGTACTTTAAATTATTACCAGAAAAGAAAATATTGGTATCATCCGCAAAAAGAATGAAATTTAGTAACTCGGAGGATAAATAGATATCATTTATATATATGAGAAATAGCAGAGGACCAAGAATTGAGCCTTGGGGGACACCATAACTAATACTTTCTAATTGTGTACTTGTTAAGTCATACGTAATACATTGTTTACGATTCTGAAGATAAGACTAAAGCCATTTTAAATTCTGATTCAAAATTCCGTAGTTTTGCAATTTATATAGAAGGATTTCATGATCTACAGTGTCAAAGGCCTTCGATAGATCTACAAAAACTCCCAGTGTATAGTTGTTGTCATCAAAGCCTTTCAAAATAGTGTTAGTCAAATCAACTATCGCATGCTCAGTGCAATGGTTTTTTCTAAATCCAAATTGTTTATGGTATAAAATATTATTTTTTTCAAGATAATTGTATAATCTATTGTACATTACACGCTCAAGAAGCTTTGAAAAACAGGAAAGTATTGAGATAGGCCTGTAGTTGGTTTCTATTGAATCATCACCATTTTTATGAATTGGAATTATTTTCGCAAATTTTAATTGATCAGGAAAGACTCCATTTTTTAAAGAAAGATTAAATATAACGAAAAGTGGTGACTCTATAATATCATAGACTGCTTTCACAACATTTGAACCAACATCATCAAGACCAGCGCTTTTATTCGTTTGAATTGTGTTAAAAGCTAAACGAAGCTCATCAATAGAAAGTTCTGAATCTTCCATAACAGAAACAGATTTTTTCAAAAAAAAACTTAAATGATTTGTTACTTGGAGAGATTTCACTGGCTAATTTGTTCCCAATGTTTATAAAAAAATTAAGTTTCCCAGCAATTTTTTTCTTATCAAAAATCTCAACATTATCCTCTGTTTGAAGTCGTTTGGGAATGTTGTTAAATTTAGTTTTTTTTTACCAATTATTTCATTTATTATAGCCTTTTTAGGATTTCCTAACGCTTTATACAGTAAACTCGAATAGAAATTTTTTTTTGATTGCTTTTTTAATTTTTAGAAATATTTCTTGTAATTTTTATATTTCGTTTCGTTATTAAAGGTTTAAAGGTTAGCTCTCCTTTTCAACATTCTTTCCTATTCTTAATAGGCGTCAATGTAAAAGTATTTTATTTTTAAGATTCTTTCCTTTATATTTTTGTCACTAGTTGCATTATTGGAATTATTACTGCATTAACAATATAATAAGATAGTGATATATTCAAAAATAGCATGTTATTATTATATTATGTTATTTTTGAAATACTTTCTTATTTTATACTTTCTTACTATATAAAATAAGTAAAATAATAAGTAAAAAAACAATTTGAACAGTCTTGCCATCTATAGGATCCTCAAGAACAGTCTTCCCATCTATAGGATTCTCAAGAAGCTAATTTATTACATCTTTGTTTTTTATGAATATCAAGAACTTTTTTTGAAGCATACACTAATAAAATTTACTCAAGCGTTTAAATTTTTTATTTAGTGGTTTTTACATAGTATTTATTTTAGAACACTTTTTAAAAACATTTAACATTTTAGAGGTCAAAGATCATAAAAAGTACATAAAATAGATGTTAAATTTATTTATTAAACATTTATAGCAAATATTCAATAAGATGGTCTACTGACAATAAAATCAACTTATTAGATCCTCTTTAATTGAAGCTTAAATTTGGAGTTCATCTTCATAAAAAACAATTTTTAAGATATAAAAATGCATTATTTTAATTGTTTGCATTTATTGAAAATGAAAATAGAAATTGATTAGATATATATTGTAATTATAGGCCGGTATCTCTTACCTCTGTACCGTGCAAGGTAATGGAGAGAATTATAAATGAGAGGATTTTGAAACACTGTACACTACACAATCTAATTTCAAAATCTCAGCATGGATTTGTTAATCACAGAGGTTGTCTCACAAATTTAATTGAATCCCGTGACATTCTCACGGAGGCAACTTACCGTGGACACATTGTTGACATAATATTTACAGTTCTTTGCCAAAGCTTTTGAAAAAGTACTACACAAAAGACTCCTTCACAAGATTCAGGCCTACGGCATTAGAGGCCAGCTATTCCACTGGATCTCTGCTTGGCTAAGTGAAAGAAAACAACGTGTAGTTATTGGGGAACAAACTTCCGAGTGGAAAAGAGTTACTAGTGGAGTCCCTCAAGATTAAGTACTTGTACCACTGCTATTTGTGCTTTTTGTCAATGACTATCCAGATGGCGTTAGCAATTATACTAAGTTATACGCCGATGATAGCAAGATCATAGGAATTATAAATAATAATCAATCATCCTCTGATTATAAAACACTGCAAACGGACATTGAAAACGCTGTAAGTTGGTCACATAAATGGCTTATGCACTTTAACATTGAGAAGTGCAAAGTGATGCACGTTGGTTGCCGCAAAGTGAAAGCACAAGTAGAAGCAGCAGCTTCGGCCGGAAATTGAATGCTTGGTCGCCTAAAAAAGACATTTCGATGCCGTAGCCTTCAGCTTTGGAAGAAATTGTACCAGCTATACGTTCGACCGCATCTAGAGTATTGTGTACAAGCCTGGTCTCCACATCTTAAATTGGAAATCATCGTTCTCGAACGTGTGCAAAAACGTGCAACAAAAGTTATATCGTCGATTAAACATTTTAATTACGAGAAACGACTACAACTACTAGATCTAACCACGCTGGAAGAACGCAGAAATCGCAGTGACCTTATACTGCAATACAAAATTGCTCATTAGTTACAAGAAGTTAAATTTTACATACCACAAGCCCAGCCTTTTTTTATGAAATTCACAATATAATCTGAGAAAAAACAGCCGATGTTTAAAACCACAACTGATCAAAAGAAATTCAGAACGTCAGCACTTCTTTACAAACCGAGTTACTAGCTGATGGAACAAATTAGCTCAGAATTAGTTGATGCACCACTGTGCACTTTTTTAAAAAACACGTTTAAAATGCTACATCGGCTGCAGCCGTCCATTGTCAGCATAGGAAAGTCTGATGTGCTTCCCTTCATCAATGCAATCAAGATGTTGTATTGATTACTGTAACAAACAAATTAAATTAAATCTGTGGCAAAACTATTATTAATAGTATTAATCTGTTGAATATAATAAGAATGTTATAGTTAAATGTTATAAGAATGTTACAACAATAAGCACAGAAACAGTTGCATTTAAGTAAACATACTTACGGTTATAAAAAGCATGTTATCGTTTTTATAATATATATAGTTAGTGAAAACTAGTTAAAAAATGTACGTTAAAGCTACAAAACCTTGAGTCAAGGCTTCACCCATTTTAAAAAATGGTATAAAAATATTTATATCAGAGCATCTTGTAACCAAAAGTTTAACAATAAAATAAACTGGCGAGATATTTAAACCATTTGTTTTGTAAACAATTTTTTTTTTCACAACATTTTATACTTTTAATGTGAGAAGCATCTGTAGCATTTGGAACAGTGTTCCTTCAAAACATATCCTCTATATTTACTAACTTACTAAGAAAATAATAAAAGCGCTTGGGTTTTTTGAATATAACTGGGCATAAAAAGACTGGAAATAAGTAGGGGATAGGTGCCTATGCTGGCATACTTAACTTTAAAGCTTTATTATTCAGTATCCTGAAGACCAAGAACAAAAGTTTTGATATGGATACATTCTTTGTTACATATAGAACAACAATAACCCTAGGAGTTTTTATCAGTTTTATTTTTTTATTAATTATTTTTATTTAAAAAAAAAGCACAAGTATGTCATCATAGGCAACTACAGCTCCTATGATGGCATAGGGGAGGAAGGGGCTGGTTAGCATCAAGGGTAACTTGACAATTTTGTTAAACCTTAAATTCTACCCTCATAAATGCCAGAAATTATCTGTAATCATCCTAATTAGCCTTTCCGTGCTACACAGCAGCATTGTAGAATTTCACGCATGCGCGTAAGATATATTGCGTTTTATGTGTTATTTGAACCAGTGCCGGCTTTAGCCTTTTTGCCGCCCTCGTGCGAAATTTGTCCTGCCGCCCCTGAAAATTTTATAAACGTGCTGGTAAATTACATGGAAAATAATAACTAATTGAATTCAAAAATAATACTTTGCAATAAAACGCTACGTACAAAGAAACATTTTTTGCTTATGTTTTACACAAAATACATTTAATTTTTTAAATTAATCTTACGAGCCTTCTTATCACCAAAATCTTTGATTAGGGTTGAAAAATCAAGATTTTCAACAATATTCTTTTCAATCGATAGGGTTCCTAAACTTGAAAGTCTATCCTGCGACATTGTTGACCGCAGATAGGTTTTTATTAGTTTCATTTTAGAAAAGCTTCTTTCTACACTCGCTACAGTGACAGGTATTGTTAGCAAAATTCGCATTGCAATCCATGTGTTTGGATACAAATCTTGCATTTTGTGCTGTTTTATTAAGTTTAAAACAATAATAGGAGTAATTTTATCATTGACCATTTCAGAAAGAAAAGGTTTAATGCTCATCAGTTCATCGCAAAGGAGAATACCATTAATGTCCGATTTTAGATTTACGGTAAGTTTACTTTGAAGAGCTAAACATGATTTTAGAATTTCTTCTCTTTTTTGCAAACTATCGACATTATACAAAAAACCCCAAACTTCGGAATAATTCTCCAACTGTATAAATCTTTCTCTCATTGAAATTAAAGATGTGTCTAAAGGAGGATTGAAGAAATCGATTTCTAATTTTTTTTCAGGAGAAAATAAATAAATCCCATCTTGGGCTGGTTCGTCAAAATGGCGTTTCACTCGTATTATTCTTTTAAGTGGTTTAAAAACAGGCTCCATTTGTAATTCTATAGCCAAATCCTTTGCTTTTATAATTGCATCTTTAAAACCACATTTTCTATAGTTTTCTAAAAATGAACAACAGCTTTTCAATAACTTTGCACATTGAGTGATGTCCATGTCTTTTTCTTGAAGAGTTTTACTAACAATATTGACTTGAAAAAGAACGTCATACCAGACAATTAAAGAGACAAGAAAGCTAAAATCTTTTAATTGCTCTCCTAGAGTTATCGCTTCATGTGCAGTTTCAGGATTACATCCTTCAATTTCTGACAATGCTATCAAAGCGTCATGTACATCACTAACTTGATTACGAATGGCTTTAACACTACTTATTTTTGCTTCCCACCGCGTTTCTTTAAATGCAAAATTTTAACATGATCAATTAAAATTTTCCATTGGCTCACTGAAGCTGAGAATAGAGTAAACAATCTCTGAAGAATACCGAAAAAAGCTATAGATTTTACTGAAGACCGTGCAGAGTCACTTATTACGAAATTTAAGCTATGGTTGCCGCAAGGAACATATAATGCTAAAGGATTAAGATTTAAAATCCTTTTTTGTACACCATTAATCTTTCATTTCATATTTGATCTATTATCATACCCTTGACCTCTGCAGCTAGAGATTTCAAGTCCATGCTTAGTTAGCAACTCGATTAAAACCTCAGTAAGTCCTAAGCCTGTAGAATCAGAAACAGAAAAGAATCCTAAAAAGTACTCTTTAATTTCCACTCTAATGTCTAATGACAAGTCAACAGTTCGAATAGTAAGAGAAAGTTGTTCTTTTCTAGAAATATCAGGTGTACAATCAGCAATGATTGAATAGTAAACGGCTTTCAAGACTCGGTTTATTATTTCATCATTAACCTTTTGAGACATTAAATCAATTAACTCATTTTGAATATTTTTTCCGCAATAATGGTTTAAAGAGTCACCTTTTATTGCAAGTGCTAAATGCTTTTGCATCACAGGATCAAATTTTGCAAGCATCTGTATTAGTCCTAAGAATTTGCCGTTTTGAGGCGTAAACAGTTTATCCGAACTCCCTCAAAAAGCCATATTTTCAGCTAGGTAAAGAGTGATATTCATCAGCCGAAGAAGAACATTTTGCCATCGCAAACTGTCTTTTTCTATAATTTTAATTTCTTCATTATATATAGTTTTTCCAGTTTTTAATCTTATTTCAGTTTCTACCTACTGTTGATAACATTTCATATGAGAGACACTGTTTTCATGAATTTCCAATGTTTCAGTTAAATGTCTCCATTTCTTGAAACCATCAGAGACTAAGTTTGACTTTGAATTATTATCAAAAAGTAGACAGCAAAAACAAAATACAGAGTTTTTAGAATCTGAATAAACCAACCTTCTACGGCAAAAGGTTTCTCCATTCACAAGCTTTCTATTGTAATAAATGCTAGAAAAATGTCAACCATTTCTATCTTCAGGGTATTTTTCCTTTGTAATTTGAAAAGGACCAAGTTTGATTAAATGGTCCACAAAGTTGCTAGATCGAACAATTGGCCAATTTCCACAATCCAATAAATTAGGTGTTTCTTGTAAAAAATCTTCCGATAAATCATTCGATTCTTTTAAAATAACTGGTTCATTATCTACTTCAATTTGCAATGAAGTTATACAACTATTTTTGAGTATTGTTGAAGGTTCTCCAATTTTATTGGACATAGTCGTAGAGATAGTTGAAGCATCAGGGTTAAAATATTCACGACCTTCGTCAGGTTTTTTATAAGCAACATATTTTTCAATGCTCATGAATTTTTTAATTTTTTCAAATTTTTGATCTTTAAAGGACTTTCTTTTTCTGTACTCATAACCAGACAACTTTTTTCTCGAATTTGAAATTTTATGTGACATGAGACAGAATATTTTTAAGATAAAATTATTTCTACAATTTAAAAAAAAAAAAAATTTAACAAAGTTCTCAAAACACATTCATAAAATTATTAAAGAAATTAAAAAAAAAGTAACTAAACTTACTGAAAATTGTTTAAATCGAGTCAACTTAACATTTAATAACAAAAAATAAAAACTTTTGAACTTCTTTATAAAAAATTTTTTGCAACTTTTCGAAATGACTCCTAGGGGAAATAACGCACAAATGATACAACAAATTACAATAGAAAATCGTGCGTTAATTAAGTAAATGTAGTAATTTTTTGTCTTCAAATTTAAAATCGTGTTTTTTTTTGAAAAGGTCGTTAAATCTTTTAATTTACTTTAAATTTTTAATATACTACTGGAAAATTAAAACTTGTGACTAATAAAATTCTCCGCCCCTATTTACTTGCCGCCCTCGTGCAACGCACGACCTCGCACTCCCCCTAAAAGCCGGCGCTGATTTGAACCAAAAATTTTTTAGTGAAGTAAAAATTCCTTTTTACTTTACTAAAAGATTTTTTTTTAATGAAAAATATAGGTTTTTCTCAACTCGTCGATATTGCAACACACCTAACTCGTCAGTATGCCATCGTTAAAATGTCTGCCTTGTTAAAAAGATAAAATTAAAATAAGTATTCCGCTAAATGCACAAAACTTGGAAATAGAATGCATGAAAATTTCATTTCGGCACAGTTAATAACAAAATCACAACCTTAAATATTTAAAGGGATTAAAAATACAACAGCACATCCCAAAATCGATTTTTGTTGATTATAAAAGCAACATTTGTGCATAAGGAACGTATTTTTGCTAAAACTAATGTAAAGTCAGTATAGACATGTTTATCTAATCCCTTTTTTGCCATAACCAATATTTATAAAAATATGACCGGTATGCCATCATAAGCGCTATGCCATCATAGGCGCCTTTCCCCTACAGCCGTTAGGCAAAAAAATCTAACCACGGGTTTTGAGTGTTGACGGCATACGAATTTACAATAAAAACATATTACTTTAAAAAAAAGAATAATCTAGTCAACCTATGCCGCAAAATCAGGTTGTTTGTGGCTTAGCCACAGAGCTAATTTATACGGTACAATAACCTATCTCTTTTTTTAATCCGTTTTTTTTAGTTTTGATTAATCGCTTTTAAAACCGGAAAATAAAAAGTATATTTATCGTAATCATAAGCGATTGTTTTTGCTTTGAAAATATGTTGGAATACTATATATAATATGCTATATATTTCGTTGATTATTTTTAGGTGTAGCCTACAACGGCTATATCCTTGATCCGCTCCTGTTAATTTAAGAACATATTTCCAGTTTATAACTAAAAAAACTTACTCCGAATAAAAAATAAAGATTACAAATAAAGAAAAAGTTCGCAAAAATGTAGAGTAAAACAGGGTAAAATGACATAGCGGGTAGAATGAAATAATTATGACAATGTTTATTCTTTTAATCTTAGTTAATTATTAGATAATCTTTTCGCAAATACTTTTAAATCACGTTGTAGAGAATACTTTTCTGAGTAGGATGATATCAAATTTTGTTTTTGATGAAGAAAAACTTGTTATAAGTTTTTAAGTTTTTGTATGCGTAATAAGATTTTTTAAAATTATTTTTCATTTATTTATTTAACCAAATTTTAACTTTACAAATCAGGAGAGCGGGGCTAAAAGTCATAAGGGTTAGTTTTCATAGTCGCTATTTTGTAATGTTATGGCTAAATTGATTGTGCAATTTTTTATATTATATAAATGGTATTGAAAGATGGCTGCTTAGTTGATTTCATGAAATTTGCGCGAATAGTTTTTCTATAAATCCAAAAAAAGTAAAAACTTTGTTGGTAAGTAACTTTTTAACTTTTTTGTTCAAAAATACAGTAACAATATGCAATATTTATTTTTAATACATTAAAATGTTTATTGTTTTTGAAATTCTTTTATTGGTGTGCTAGTCATTTTTCAGATTAACGGCAAGGATAAAAAGTTATTTTAGGTCAAACCTTCTTCTGTGGAAGGTTTGACCTAAATAACTTTTTATCCAGAAGATGAAAGCAGCTGTATCATTTACATGGATACTTGGGCTAATAGCAGAGATGCTGAAAATTGCATCAAATGTGAGTGCTCAAGCTGGGCACATGAAAAATGTACAGCAGGAAGGTGCAGCTACGTTTGTCATAATTGTGACTCTGATGATGGTTTTTAATGGACATTTTCCAAGTGTTTTAGTGTAGAAAATATATATGTTATTTTTAATAAATTATAAATTCTTTTTGAAAATATTTTTTTTACCTTTTAGACCTACACCTGTGATAAAAAATAATTATGACAACTTGCCCCTTCAACGAAGGGGCAAGTTGTCATACCATGGAGCCTTCTTTCCAAAGTTCTTTTTTAAATAACTATAATGATAAACTACCATATAAAATATTTTTTTATGAAAATTGACCAGTTAGTTTTTGAAATATCTAAAAATATATAAAAAGTATGACAACGTGCCCCGCTCTCCTCTATTAAAACAAGTATCATTTCGCATAATATATACAATATATATATACACAAACTAAAAAAAAAAATTACAACATTACAACACAACAGAGCAGAACGCAAAAACGCAAAAAAAAAAAAAAAAAAAATGGAAAGAAAGAAAGAAGCAAGAAAGAAATACAATAACACAATACATCAAATCTTCCTTATTTTACAAATACAGTTTAATTATTTTTATATAATATATAAGTTTTTTTTTTCTTTTTTCCTCTTCTTTTATTTACATACTTTTACTCTTTTTCTTTTTTATGAGATTCTTAGTTTTTTTTTTCTTGTTCGTTTTTTTCCTTATTTCCTTAATATCTTTTTCTTTTACTTTATTTTCTTTGAATGTTTTTTTCTTTCCTTGTTTTTCTTTAACTCTCTTTTTTTTGTTTTTATCTTTACTTGATTTAATTAATCAATTTCTTTTACATTCTCCAAATATAAATTTTTTGTTTTGAAAAATCTTTTCAATGAAATTTTTCTGAATTTAAATAAATGACTTTTACTAACTGTATTTATTAAATGATTCTAATGAATGAATGAAAAACGCTAGTTACTCTCTTGTTAAATGCGGTTTTTATTAATTAATTAAGTCTCAAGTAACCAAGCTATCTCTATAAATTTTGTTCACTAATTTCAAATGGATTATTGTTAAATCTATTTTGATATAAAATATGCCTCGAATCTACTTGGATGCAAAGACAAAAGAAAAACTATATACCAAAGAGCAAGTTGCGCTTGTGTGGCTAAAGTACATAGTGATAAATTTTCACTTAAAAAATCTGACAAATCATTTAGCATACCAGTAGCAACTCTTCACAGGCGTGTCCATGACATAGGGAAAACAATTGGCAGTGGTTCACGCGCGAGATTGTCAAAAAATTTGAATCAGTTTTGGTAGGTACGCTCATCAAATTATCCAATTGGGGCTTTGATAGAACTACTCACACTAGTTACTAGACTGTTTGCAACACCAAGGTCAATCTCATTTGATTACTAATGGTACACCAGAAAAAAATTGGGATAATCTTTTCAAAAACTGGTGGAGTCATAGGTTGAGTATCAGAGCCAAAGGCAATATTTCATCACACAGAACCGCTTCTTGCACGCAAGAAATAGTAGCAAAGTATATCAACACACAGAAAATTCAACGTAGCAGATATCAACAAAAATACTCCTAATCATTTGTGGAATTTTGATATTAATATCTTGTTAACTTGCTTACCAGCTCACTCGTCGCATATTATACAGCCATTAGATGTCGGTATTTATTGCCATGTCAAAAGAGTTTGGCGCAAATTACTTCAACAGTTTTATGCAGAGATAAAATTCAGCAACTTATCAAACGAATGATAAGTTGCTGAACTTAGTTACCTGCAAAAAAAAACTATTCAGCTCTGGTGAAGTTTTTACACGAACCCAAATAGTCACTGGGTTTAAGAACACTGGCTTTTTCCACTCAACATCAATAAAATCGATCTGCCCCCTGAATCTACACCAACATCTAGCATCAGCATATGTCACATAGCATCAGCCTCAAAGTCACCTCAAAA